GCCGCGAGATCGAGCTCGCCGAGATTGAGATGCCCGGTCTCATGGCCATCCGCCGCAGATACGCTGAGGACCAGCCCCTCGCCGGTGCCCGCATCGCTGGTTGCTTGCACATGAGTATGTTCCGCTTCGGTGACTTTTTCCCAACCAGCTGCTAACCCTGCCCAGCCATCCAGACTGCCGTCCTCATCGAGACCCTCGTTGCCCTCGGTGCTGAGGTCACCTGGTCCAGCTGCAACATCTTCTCCACTCAGGACCACGCCGCCGCCGCCATTGCCGCCGCCGGTGTCCCTGTGTAAGCTGACACTGAATTCTCTCCGTCCCGGCGGTCCCCACGCTAACAACCCGCTAGCTTCGCCTGGAAGGGTGAGACCGAGGAGGAGTACAACTGGTGCTTGGAGCAGCAGCTCGTCTCCTTCAAGGATGGCAAGAAGCTCAACCTCATCCTCGACGACGGTGGTGACTTGACCTCCCTCGTCCACGAGAAGTACCCCGAGCAGCTCAAGGACTGCTACGGTCTGTCCGAGGAGACCACCACCGGTGTCCACCACCTGTACCGCATGCTCAAGGAGGGCAAGCTCCTCGTCCCCGCCATCAATGTCAACGACTCCGTCACCAAGTCCAAGTTCGACAACCTGTACGGCTGCCGCGAGTCCCTCGTCGACGGTATCAAGCGTGCCACCGATGTCATGATCGCCGGTAAGGTCGCCGTCGTCGCCGGTTTCGGTGATGTCGGTAAGGGCTGTGCCGATGCTCTCCGCAGCATGGGTGCCCGCGTCATCGTTACTGAGATCGACCCCATCAACGCCCTCCAGGCTGCCGTCCAGGGCTACCAGGTCACCACCATGGAGGAGGCTGCTCCCCAGGGTCAGATCTTCGTCACGACCACCGGCTGCCGTGACATCCTTGTTGGCAAGCACTTCGAGGTTATGCGCAACGACGCCATTGTTTGCAGTAAGTTCTCTGCCTCATTCTCTCTTGAGACGGTGCTAACTGCTCAGACATCGGTCACTTCGACATTGAGATCGACGTCGCCTGGTTGAAGGCCAATGCCAAGTCCGTCCAGAACATCAAGCCCCAGGTCGACCGCTACGAGATGCCCAGCGGCAACCACATCATCCTCCTCGCCGAGGGCCGTCTCGTCAACCTGGGCTGTGCCACCGGCCACTCTTCCTTCGTCATGTCCTGCTCTTTCTCCAACCAGGTCCTTGCCCAGATCGCTCTCTTCAAGGCCGAGGACGTTGCCTTCGGCCAGAAGTACGTCGAGTTCGGCACCACCGGCCGCAAGCCCGTCGGCGTCTACGTCCTGCCCAAGGTTTTGGACGAGCAGGTCGCTCTCCTCCACTTGGAGCACGTCAACGGCAAGCTCTCCAAGCTCACCCCCGTCCAGGCCGAGTACCTTGGTCTGGAGGTCACCGGTCCCTTCAAGGCCGACCACTACCGCTACTAAGCGTTTTCCTTGATTTGTGTCCACCGCATACACACCTGTTCGGCATTGATTTCGGTATACCCTGAACGGCTAGAGTTTTTCAACATGGTCACGATGTTACGAAACAAATAAAAGGGGTCTTTTTTTAACAATGGGGCTCAAAAGCATTGTCTTCAACGGCAAGAATAAAAGTGGCATGGGGGTTTGATTGGGTTGTTTTATACCATAAAGATAAATAATATGAGTTTGTTTGCATGCAGTGACTGTGATCGGGTTGTGCGCCTAGCATCACCGTACTTGCCCACTTCTAGTACTCTTGACTCTTGAGACAGAGAGCAGTGAGCCCAACTTTCAACCACAAGTCCTATAAAGTCCCATGCATCATTCTCCACAAGACCGTCAGTGAGATCCTATTGATGAGTGGGGCCCTTTTGGGGGCTGCTTGTGTTCGGTGGAAGGGACGGAAACAGGATTCCTGAGTAAATCTGGTATAAGAGAGACTCAGGGGTTGCTTGAGAATCTTGTTAATATTTTGTCTCATTCATACTTATGTCTGAGTTCGGAGGTAGCAATGTGCTAGATTACATAATGCGATTCATAACCCGTCATCCAGCCAAGTTACTGATCCGAGCCCGCAATGAACTTACCTAAGTAAGTACAGGCATGCATCTCGACCTACCACTCAGACACTAAACAACCACAGCAACGAACCCAACACCATAAAAACCCTACTATATCCCCACTCCCTACCATCCATCCTTCACCCCCATCCAAAGACCATTAGAACCTCTACCTCTACCTACCTCCCTTCTCTTCACCCATCCACCCCCTCTTTATTTCCCTTACGGGGAGAAGAAAGAACAAGCCCCCCCTCTGCAAACCTACCACCTCCTCAACCCAACCATCACCACCACCCGCAAGGGCCGTATCCGACGGCCGACGAGGACTGGCGCCGCGTGCGCCGCTGCCACCACCACCCGGGTCTCCTGCAGGAGTTCCTTCGGCGCCTGGCGGGCCGGAAATGCTGGGCCACGCTGGGGTCCAAGACGCGGGAGGTGGTTTTTAGGTGTGCCCACCCTTCTCTTTTTTTTGGGGGGGGGAGGGCAGTTTGGAGGGCAGTGCGAATTTGGGTTTCTGTCGGTGAACAGCGGCGTGCTGTGGGATGAGGTGCGGGATGGCATTGGGCGGTATAAAAATCGGCCTGGGATGCGGGTGTTGGGGTTTGGTGGTCGGGCCCTAGGTAGGTACGGAGGAGGACGGGGAGGAGGGTCCGAGAGGCATCTTATGGGGGCAGGGGAGGGGCAGTCGAAGGGGTCTTCTTGAAGTGGACAGGTTTGTATCTTGTTTCTTTTCTTGGGGTTGGTGCGATTGGACTGTATTGTACATCTCGGTACCTGATCGCTTTTCTCTTGATTCCCGGGGTTCATGATTGTACAGTACTTGGCGCATAGCGCATATTTGTCTACTTCTGTTGAGGTACAGTATACTTGGGATTGAAGAGGGTGAGAGCACAGGGGTACCGACAGGAAAGCATACAAGATAATCCAAGCCTGCTCATGTCAGATAGACTGCGCCAACATCTAGATGTCTCGCAGCCTACGGCTCAGCTAGCTCGGTACACTCATTGATGTTGTTACGGTTACTGGGATAAAGATGAGGCAGGCTGGGGATCATGCCGTCCGACACTCAAACCACCACGCGAAACTTGAACAAGTCTCTTTGGAGAACGTCCTGCTGCTTCTGCTCCAGCTCCTCCATGTCCCAGCTCACCGAGGCAAATCGGCCGGCCAGCCAGTCGCGCCGCTCGCGGACGAGCCAGACCAGCGTGTCCGCGGCCAGCTCCGGGGTGTCGGTCAGGACGGATTGCCGCTCCGGGGGCATGTTCATGGCCAGCTCAGTCATGACGGCACCCGGATGGAGCGCGATGGCGATCAGCCCCTGCCGGTGGTATTCTGCGTCCATGAACTCGGTGAGGCGGCAGAGGGCGAATTTGGTGGTCTGGTAGGCCGACGCCCCCGGAAACATGACATGGGCCCCCCCGCTGCTGATGTTGATGACCGTCTTCGTCGGCGACCGGAGCAGCAGCGGAACGAAGAAGTGGGCCGCGAGATAGGTGCCCTTGATGTTGACCTCCCAGGTCCGCCACCACTCGCTCGGCTCCGAGTCGGCCAGGGGCTTCCACTCCTCCAGGTAGCCCGCGTTGTTGATCAGGACATCGAGCCCGCCGCCGCCGAGCCACTCGGCCGCGGTCGAGGCGGCCGCGCGCACCGAGTCTTCCGAGGTCACGTCTGCCTTCAGGGACCGCACGAATGGCCGGGGCCGGTGGGCCTTCATGGCCGCGTGGTGGACGGCCGTCTCCACCTCGCTCAGGTCCGACCGCGCGAGCAGCAGGATCGTCGAGCAGCCCGCCATGGCAAAGCGGATCGCGGCCGCCTTGCCGATGCCCTTGGAGGCCCCCGTGATCAGGACCGACTTGCCCGCCAGGTCGGCGTGAGCCGGATCGATGAACGGGTACGTGTCCTTGCGCGTCGAGACATAGCTAGCCACCGCAGGCCAGTTTGCCAGGGAGGGATCTTGGGCCGACATGGTCGTTCTCCAAAGGAACCCGCAGTTGTAGGTAGAGCCGGGGGTAAGAGGATGAGGTGAGAGAGCTGCTGCGCTTGGAAGCTGCGTTTGCCGGGTGGGTACTAGGTAGGTAGTCATCCCCCTCGTATGGATCGAAGACCAAGAAGCCTCAATTAGTAATAGTAAGTCATTCGTCCATGATGCCATTCCTCAGACGGAGATTGCGTTTCTTAAACGCCGTCGTGGTCTCTCTGGTCCGTTAACTCCGCGGCCAGAAATTCCGAATATAGACTCTTAGACGGAGGGGTGTAAGAGCAAGCCATTAAAAAGCACCAATTGTCGTCGTGTGTACTGAGTGTGATGATTTCTTGCATATATAATATAAATATAGCCTAAAGTCGTAAACTATAAAAGCTAGACATAGTAGAAGTTACTCTATCAGAAATATACTCGGTAAAATTAAACACAGTAACTACAGTGAGATTAGGCCTTAGAAATCCTTCAAAGGTCGTTGTTTATCAAAGGACAAGTACTGCTGGGCTATTCCCAAGCAGTATAACGTATAATATTTTTATTTTCCAAGTCAATACATCGATCCCAACCCGGAGGATTAGTGCGGTTCAATGACTTTTTCTACACGGCTCTGTAGTTTGATCATGGTTTCATTATTGAAGAGACTCCTCCGTTGCTCCTGCCCCAGCTGACTAAACGTGGGACGCGACCTCAAAGCATGTCCTATTTAATACGATTTCTCGACAGCATTACAGGAACACTGGTATTTCTTCTCAGTGGGTAACTGGAGCAGCCTCTCACAGCCCTTCCAGTTCCATTTCCATGTTTGATCCACATCATGAAGGCAGGCAGCAGGTACCAGGCCAGTGGTTACATAGATAGACTAATCAGGATCAGGACTCTTGCTGGGGAACGGACTATCTTCATCAACAGTCATTATCTCTCTATAAATTAGCCCAATAGGACTCTGTCACCCTTGATTGGGCCCCTTATCGCATCACAAAGCTAGAGCTTTGTGAATCAGCTGAATGACCTTTCCGGGGTACTCCAGGCCCAACTCATTCCAATGACCATCATCCTTGACAGCGCTAAGAAGGATTTCGAATCAGTCAGCGTCTTTCCTGAAGATATGCACTTGTGACCATCAGACTTACACTTTCCCACGTGGTAGCCAAAAAAGCTGAGCTGCTCTGCCGGAAACTTCGCATTGGGGCGCACTGGGTCGGAGTTCTGGACTGGGGATCTCTACTGTCTCCGCGATGACGGGGGATGCGATGTCACCTGCCGCGCACTGCTGACACTGGGCAAAGATCTTTTCCACGGTCGGCATGTCACTCCAAGGGATACTGACCCAAAGGCAGGCTTCAGAATCAAATGGTGGGCGGGGGGCCTCCATGTCGGCTCGCTGAGACGACTTTTCCCCAAGACTTGACACTTGTTTCTCCAAAGCCTCGACTCTCTCCACTATCGACATGGAATATAGGCTATCGAGCTTGCCTTCGAGGTTGTTCAATGCGTTCAGTACCTGAGTGTGATCTTTCGTCTCATCCATCTTAGACTCGAGTGATCCAAGACGGCATTCGAAGATCGAGTCAACACGCTGGCAAAGGTTGTTGGCAAAGTCATCTTGGATTCTTCGGTCCAGAGTAGAGGCAAGTTCTTGCAGCCGCTCTTGATTTGAGCTCGTGCTGTCCTGGATTCCCAACAGGATTGGCAGTATCTTCGCTTCGTGGCAAGCTTTTTCATCCCGCACTGCCGATCGCTCGAGGCTCTCGTTCATACACTGAAGGCTCGAGGTCGCAAACGCCGATGACGCCTCATTGGCCTGGGCTGGAAGTCCGGCCTTGTCCTCAACTATTGAAATTTGTCGATTGCTGAGGGTCTCGGCGATCTGCTGCAGGTGGGCGATCTGTGCTCCAAGTAGATTGAGGTTGCTTGCAAGCAAACTGGCCATTTCCTTGTCTTGCGCAAGGCCCGCCTTCTCTTCGGTCAACCTTTGGACTCTTTGCCTTGCATTTTGCAAGTCTTCGTCTAAGCTATCTTTCTGTTGCTGAAGTTCTGCGCTTTTTTCTCTCTCCGCACTGGCTGCATTCGTCGCCGAGATTTCCCATTCCTCAACGTCGGCGATTCTCTTTTGCAGATCGTCATTCTTGGAAAGCAAGTCATCGTGTTCGGCACTCAGCACGTCATGTCTGGACCTCAGGTCGTTATGTTTGGCCACCTGGTCTTGCAGAAGCACTGCCTCCGCTTGCAGCCTTTTCCTTTCCATCTCTGCCTCCGTCAAGGCCATTTCCACATTCTTCAAGTCCTTCAAGTTGGTCCGAAGTTCTCTGGTCTGGTCCTCAAGGCTTTTATTCTTTTCTCGAAGTGCTCGGAGTTCCAGCGCGGTCGAATTCTTGGAATCGGCCAGCTGTGCTTGGAGCTGCAGGTTCTTTCCCCGCTCCACTTCCAGCTCCCGTTGCAGGGAAGCAATTTTCTGCCTATCATCGCGCATCGAAGCCTGCATCTCATCCCAGATGAACGGGAGATATCTTACCATGCCGTCGAAACTAGGTCCTTCTATCCTGGTCTGCAACCCCTCGCCACGATGCCCGTCCTGCTCGCTGGGCTGCGAACGCTGAGGCGGGTTGCTTCGACTGCCATTTTCCGAGGAGTGCGCCTGGTGGTGTTCTTGTAGACTGGAAACACGACGCCTAAAGGAGAGTCGGGTCTGGGATAGAGTGGTCTTTGTAAGTGATGGTGGGGATGGTCGGGGGATCCGGCGCAGCAGTTGGGGATTGGACGGGAGCGAGTCAGAAGAGTCTTGAGAGTATCCCGACTGACTGCTTCGAAGTGACGCTTTTGACTCGGACATTATCTGCGACAAGAAATGGGGGCTAAGCTCGATGCCCCGGAATATGGTTTTCCAAATGCTATGCGAGGAAACGGAGTTACCGAGGGTATTGATATATCGAGCGTGTATTGTAGGCAGAGAACAACCCATCCCCGCACAATTTCGACCTCCTCCCCAAGATCACACGTCAATGCTTCCTGCAAAGCCTTGTTAGAACGGTTGGAGAACAGTAGTGCAGTCCGGTATGCGTGTAAGCCTTGATTGATCATCTGGTTCACCGGGTCGTGGACCTAATTCATTCCAATTGATTGTACCCTGGAAACCCTGACCATTGTCAGCACCCGTTTGCATCGGAGGGCCAGTGGGAGGCCATGTGGACTAGAGGATGGGCAAGACAGAACTCTGAGGGTGGAGCCACGTCAATCCGACGTCGGTCTCCGGAGCAAGACGAAGTATAATGATGGTGAGCGAATGTGGGAGGAAGTGGCGGTTGTGGAGAGCGCCTTCGGTCACGGCGACGCGTCCACTCGTCCACTCGTCCACTCAACAGGCCGACTCCCAACATGCCAGTCTAATCTTGTGTAGGCATCACCCCAAGGCTGGTTCACCGGTGATTCATCTCCATTCATCTCGTAGGTGGCGCTTCGACAGATAGAGATGTCGCACCAGATCCCGATGACTGCGGTGCTGTGCTTGATGCCGGAGGGGTCGATATTGGGGCGAGCAGGAATCGTGGAGATGGTAGCCTACCAAGTAGTATTATAAGCCGTGGAGAAGGGGTTTGTCCGACGCCAAAAGAGCCCTCCCGACGTCGTCCCAGGGGCTTCCGGCCCGTTCGAAATGTTTTCAAGGCTATGTGTGCTGTATCGATCTTCCAGCTCACAATGCATCGATGGCGATGGCGGGCATGACAAACAGATGCGGCAAAAAAAAATACTTTATCGAATATCAGGTTGGCAAAACCTTTAATATGATAAACTCTTGGGCGCTGCCGGTACCCAGAAAGGAAAATCCCGTGGGTAACACAACACCCACTGTTATGTTATGTCAGCTATAAAGGCAACATACAGGCATGCGAAGTCATGGCCATGCCCGATGGAACCATGATATACTCCCCATGTGGCCCTGTTGGACAGGAATAGATGAAAATCATAGTTTCTTGAATGTGATGTGTTGAGCCCTACTTCCAACCTCGCAGATCTAACCTCTGCAGGTGTCCTAGACGGACAGAAGCAGCTGGGCGACCACTTTCTTTCTCTCATGATGAACCACCCCAGCATTGACATTCGCCGACCCTCGAGCCGACGACGACCATTTTGCCATCAAACAGCCACCCCGCTGTCCTTAATGCGGCCGACGGACCACATGGGATGGGAGGAATGACGAAAGCGGGAAACAGAAATGGGAATGCTCTGCGCCCATATCGCGCTTGTTGTTCGTGTGGGTAATAAACTCGCCTGCTTCGGGGATATGCGAAGGACTGGAACTGGATTCCACAGGAATTGTGTTCGGTTCGGTATCTATTCAGTGGGTTGGAGAGAGAAGATACTGGTATACTTCTTCTAGCCAGAATGAGTCAAGAATAACTTAATCTGCTTGACAGTCGATCATGAATATCATAGTACTACCCACGGATATATTGCCCATCAGCTGGATCATCGACATGCCCATGCCCATAGCACTAAGCACTACAGCTGTCATTTGCACCTCCAGGCCTGCTGCTTGCATACCAAACGACAACCCCCGAAAACACTCCCCGACTACAAGATCAAACCAACCGACAACCCATCACCCTCCCCAACCCCTCCACCAACCCCCTCGCAAACGCCGGATCATTGATCTCCTCCTCCCGCCTGACCACCTCCACCCCAGACCCCTTCAACCCCTCCTCCACCGTGCGAAACAGCACCCCATCCGCCTCCGGATCCCAATACACGCCCCCTTCCACATCCAACATACTCAACCCGCGCGTCGGCAGCACGACCACTACCTTCTCCGGCACCTTGGCCCTCCTCAACTTCCCCACCATAAACGCCCCCACCTCCTCATTCTCTGCAGGGGACGTCCGCACCAGCGTAACAGTAGGATTATGCTCCCAGATCCGCCTTCCCCGAAACCGCTCCGGCACCGTCCCCGGCGGGCCATAGTTGACCATATCGCAGGCGCCCACACTGACCACCTGCGGAATGCCCGCTGCCGTCGCGGCGTCCAACCGCTCCGGTCCAGCGGAGAGCACCCCGCCGACCAGCTCATCGACCACCTCGGAAGTGGTCAGATCGATCACGGCGTCCAGCCCGCCTTCGCGGACCAACCGCTCCATGGCTTTCCCGCCGGCGCCCGTGGCGTGGAAGATGAATACTTCCGTGGCGGTGGGGGAGGCGGCCAGCAGGGATTGGATCGCGGTGACGCAGGGGGTGGTCACGCCGAACATGGTGATCCCGATGCGTTTGGGCGGGGCGGCCCGTTGGAGCTCTGGGGCGGCGGCTGGGTTGTCTTGGGGGTGCCGGTGGTGGTTATGGTGGTGCTGCTGCTGCTCGCGCCGGAACTGCACGGCGGCCATCGCGGCGGCGGCCGCCGCAGCATTGTCCAGAATCCTGGTGAGGATCGAATTGGTGCCGGCGATGTCGACGACGCTGTACATCATGGTCAGGTCGGTTTCCTCGACGTAGGGCCCGATGTCCCCGCTGGCCATGGTGGAGACCATCACCTTCGGGAAGCCGAGGGGGCAGGCGGCGCGCATTGCCGCTGTCGCGACGGTGGTGCCGCAGCTGCCGCCGAGGGCGAGGATGCCGTGCAGCTGGTTGAGGGCGCGTAGGTGGGCGATGGTGCGCCGGGTGCGCGCGGTGGCGGCTTCGAGGTAGGATTGGCGCGGCAGCGAGGCCCAGTCTTTGGGTTCGTGGTCGTCGTTCTTGATGTCGATGTCGCACGGGGAGGGGAGGGAGGGGTGGGGGATGGTGATTTCCTCATGATGAGAAGGCTCGCGCCCGATGTCGAGGAGGATCACGGATGGGCTGGGGTGGACGGGGGATGAGAGCAGTTGCTGGCGCGTGTGTTGCAGTTCCGCCCATTTGGTGTCGCAGGTGCCGATTAGGAGGATGGTGGGGTGGTCTGTCATTTTGCTTGGATTTCTTGTGCTGATTGATGAAGTTATGAGCGCATGATCATTGCACAAATGGTGGTGGTTGTTGTTGTGTCTGATTAAATAAGATGTTCGGATGAGGGCTGAGGTGGGGTGGAGGAATGATGCATGAAGAGGAGGATATGCACGATGATGTTGTTTGCCCCTCCTCTCCTCTCAACTCCTCTTTTATTCATCCTCTACCCCTCCCAATCTCTTTCAACCCCCGTTTGTCTGCAAACCAATTTCCCTCGCTCAAACGAACATCCAACAAAATGCGCCCAACAAACCGACAAGAAGTGCTCGCGCGTTTGCGCAAGACCATCGCCGATGGCTCCATCATTGTCGGAGCCGGAGCTGGTACCCCCCATTAACACCCCGCATCCAAACAGCGACTAATCCCCCGTCAAACAGGAATCGGGCTCTCCGCCAAATTCATCGAAAAAGGCGGCGCCGACCTCATCCTGGTCTACAACTCGGGCCGCTTCCGCATGGCCGGCCGGGGCTCTCTGGCGGGCATGATGCCCTACTCCGATGCCAACGAGGTGGTGGTTGACATGGTAGGTCGCCCGCCCGCCTTGCCTTGCCTACCCCCTTTCCCACCAATAAAATAACAATGCACCAGGCCTCCGAAGTCCTCCCCATCGTGGAAAACACCCCCGTGCTCGCCGGGGTGTGCGGCACCGACCCCTTCCGCGACATGCGGCCCTTCCTGCAGCAGCTGCGCTCGCTGGGCTTCGTCGGGGTCCAGAACTTCCCGACGGTCGGGCTGATCGACGGCAAGTTCCGGGCCAACCTCGAGGAAACGGGGATGGGGTACGAGCGCGAGGTCGAGATGATCCGGCTGGCGCACGAGCTGGACCTGGTGACGACGCCGTACGTGTTTACCGTCGACGAGGGCGAGCGCATGGCGCGCGCGGGCGCCGACGTGATCGTCGTGCATCTGGGGCTCACGACTTCCGGGACGATCGGGGCGCAGACCAGTCTATCGTTGGATGAGAGTGTTCACGTCATCCAGGAGGTGAGGGATGCAGTGACCAAAATCAACGAGGAGGTCATTGTGCTGTGTCATGGGGGCCCGGTGGCCAGCCCGGAGGATGCGCAGTATGTTTTGTCGAGGGTGAAAGGCGTGCATGGGTTCTTTGGGGCGAGTAGTATGGAGCGGTTGCCGGTGGAGAGGGCGATCGAGGAGAATGCGAGGAGGTTCAAGGGGGTAAAACTGGGTTGAGCTTACTGTGTAGTCTGGTGGAGTGAGTGTATGGGTTTGCTGTTGTTGAGTGGATTTATTGTAACTAAATTGAGGTATGGATGGATGGATGGAGACGTGCCGCCGGAGTGTGCCCGATTGGGGAATTTCCCGGTGTATACTTAGTACTCAGCGAGTCGCAACGCAAGTGGAGATCTCAAGCATCCAGCTGATCAACAATAATTATCCGGGGGGAAGTATATCAATTGCTGCCGACAGACACAGTCTTGACTTTCTCCCGAGTCCCCTCCACCTCCCTCCCCTTACGCATTCCGACAGCACCCAAAATGTCTGGCATTCTCGCAGGCAAACTCGCCATCATCACCGGCGGATCGCGGGGTAGGCAACCTGCTACATCAAGTACGAGACACGCAACCAACTAACCCCGACCCAGGCATCGGCGAAGCGATCGCGCACAACCTCGCGCGCAAAGGCTGCTCCCTGCTCCTCAACTACACCTCGGACTCGTCGCGGGCGCGCACCGAGTCCCTCTGCACGCAGCTGGCGCGCGAGCACTCGATCCGCTGCGTGCCCGTGCAAGCCGACCTGTCCGACCCGGCGCCGGCCATCGAGCGCATCCTCAGCGTCGCCAAGGCCGAGTTCTCCTCCTCCTCTACGCAGCAGCAACTGACGATCGACATTCTCATCAACAACGCC